CAGAAACGGTGGGAAAAACTTTACTGCTGGCCAAGAATATTTCCTATATCTCCCATACCAAAGGTGACATCAAGAAGGACGGCAAAATGGGCGGATCAGATGATCCATTTCCATGGAAAACGAAGGTTTTGGATTGATTGTCAAAATGCCAAATAATGGTAGCAAATTGATTTTTTTTGAAGAAGTAAATGGAAATGAAGATGGAAAGTGTGAAGTATACGTGCATTTATAGGGGGGTGAAGGTGAAAAGACAGAATATGAACAGCCACATTCGTGCCTAGTAAATGGAATTAAGTGGCCCAAAGTCTTGAAAAAAAGGGGGCAGAAATATCAAGAGAAGATGTGCAATTTTTTTTTTAACATAAAGCAGTTAAATGCCTGAGCGATTGATGATTAAAAGAAAAACGTCAATAAATACACAAGAAGTCAAAATAGTTATTCATTAACGATGATGGCTGCTGTTATGATCAAAATTAGCAATGAATATCAATACAAGGTTACAAAGGGAAAGTCAATACGAAATTACAAAAAGAAAAAGTTAAGGCATTATATGTCTTAATTACAATTCGCCCCATACCAAACGAATTCTTTCCCTAAGTCTCCCCCAGTCCTCGCTCTGCCGAGAAGAAGTGATATTCAATTCAGCCACAACATCATCATCAACTTCCAGGTTCTTGTACTGCTCGACCAAAGACTTAGTTCGCTCAATTCCTTGGGAGGCATTACGCTTTTTAGCAGCATTCTCGCCTTGCAGTCGTCCATCTTGGCTTGAAGCTCCTTCATCAAAGAGTCTTCAATCATGACTTTGGAAGAGATTTCTTTTAATTCGTCCTCAGCTTTGTTGATCTTCAGAAGCAAGGACTCTTTCAGATACAGCGCGAAAATATTGAGTACTTTTGGCCTTCAATTCAACATTTTTGGCCAGCAAGGAGAGGACCTTGGAATGGACAACCTTCAACGTCGCTTTAAAATTAGCAGAAAGATTGAGCGACGAAAGTGTCAGCGCTTGCTCCAATTTCGCATTTAAATGCTCAAGCTTATCATTATGCTTGGCAGCACTAGCCTTACCGATGTCCATATCCATGAAGGACACATACTCAAATATCGACTGTTTGAGAAACTTCATATCTTCCTCTGAAAAAGCAGAAGAACGACTGGCTGAAGCAGGGCGAGATGTCTTGACTTGCCCCCAGGAAGTGAACAAGTCTTGAATGGAACGCACAATTTTATTAGCATCCTGCAAAGAAAGTTGCCAATATTGAAGGTTTTCACTACACTAAACAAAGTGAAAGTAAAGGTGAAGCAAATATTACCTCATCAGCAATCTTGGAAGGTGGCATATCCCCAGCCAAATCTACCACCCGTGGCTTCACCATTCGTGAGGACTTCCCCTTGTCTAAGCGAGAAGAACTTGCCGCAACGGGCAGACTTTTGGGAGCATCTGCAGAACTCAAAAGGCAACAAATCAAAAACCAATAGCACAAGCAAAGGTAAAGCATCAAAAAATGAATTACCTTCTACTTCGACGTTTGGAGGGTCAATGCCCTAGGAAGAAGGTGGCTCATCCATTTGTTGTGATGAAAATTCTGGGACTGAAGATTTTTCTTTAAGCGTAGTCCCTTCATCAGATGGTTTGGACGAAGCAGCCTCAATAGAGGATGATGGAGCAGGAGCTGCCAACACCAAAGCCTTCAAAGGAGAGACTGGACTTTTCTGAGAAATTCAAATAAACCATCAGCACATAGAAAAGTTTCAAGTATGGAAAGGTATGCTTGTGGGTAAACCAATTTAATTACCTTCCTCCTGACGATGAGAGGGATGTCATCATCATCATCAACATCATCCTCCAAAATGGGAGATGCTGAGACTGGCCGTTTGCAGCTTGGGGCACTTTTAGCTGCAGTGGGCTTGGCAGGAAGAGAAGTCGATGGACAAGCAGATTGTTTAGCAAGAGCAGGGGAAGAGGGACTCCTAATGGACACAGGAGTACCAAAACAGGAGAGGTGGAAAAAATGTTTGGCTGGTCCAGTGAATGGAAAGCACGATGTTTAGCAAGAGCAGGGGAAGAGGGACTCCTAATGAACACAGGAGTACCAAAACAGGAGAGGTGGAAGAAATGTTTGGCTGGTCTAGTGAATGGAAAGCATGATTGACATCAATCGAAAACAATCTGCGCTTTACTGACGGCCAGAGTCGTTCAAAAAGGGGATGGATGGCACGGCTAGGATTGAAAGGGGCTAATGAAAAGTTGCTCGTCAAAAGAATATTGCGAGCATCTATAGCTTCTGCATCTGCCTTATTAATGGTGTGGACGCGGTCTATTAAATTTCTTGAATAGTAAGGGGGAACGGGCCAAATTTGGCCAAAGCCAAGTTGGCGAGCAAAAAATTGGGGAGCGTATATTTCAACCCCATCTTTGGCATTGGTTCCAGTCAAAATATTATGGAACAACTCCCTCCCGGTCAAAAATTAAATCTAAACGAACAGAGAGGTGTTCGCACTATCCAGAGTGGATGGAGGTTGCACATAATCTGGAGTCAAAAAGGGAGGAAAAGGAAAGAAGGAAGGGATTGAATCCAAAGTATAAAAGAATGAAAAAATGTCCCTTCTGGACATATTTACAGGAGTCAGGGGATCAATGGCTAGCCCATAGCAGCTAGCAGAAGGACTAGAAAAGGATGGAGTACCAAGCGATGAAAAATAGGATCTCAACCACATTTGAGTGAACCAAAGAGGCCCACTGCCAGTGGGAGATGCACCATTCTTCAATTGGGATTGAAGAGAAGTCATGCCTCTATAGAGGGCAGCTAAAAAGAAAGAACACAAATTTAGAGGCCTACCGCGCGCCACGCTATGGGTAAATAGCTCATGGAGGGCTTCATGCTTGGCACACACAAAATGTATTTACAAAACCAAACCTGAAGAAAGGCCACACGCTCAGCATGAGAAGGCTCAGCGCTCGAGTGGTTATGACAAGTTTGCAGGTTTGAATAAGACTCGGTGAGTTTTTTATCAAATTTTAGAGCGACACCAGAAATCAAAACACCAGGGAAAATGGTATCGCCCAAAGGTAGCAGATTTACTAGGGCCCCAACATCCCTTAAGGTAATGGACATGTGACCAAGAGGGAAAACAAAAGTATTATACTCAGAAGACCAAAAACTTAAAGCGATTGGAAAAAGTGCTCGGTCAAAAATAGGGGGTTGAAGAAAGATTTCTAATAAATCAGAAATCTTAGCACTATCAAAAATTGCCTTAGTAGGACCATGGTCCACAAGGCGAGCATGCCATCTACGGAAAACGACATCAGATCTAGGCCAAGTGCTAATACCTCTTTCGCGAAGCGGCCTCAGCGGCAAAGTGTTTAAAAACGGAGGGCCCTGAGTACAAGGGAACAGCTGACCGACCGCCGCTTGTTCGATAGCTTCGGCGTTGTTAAATGAAGGACCTAGATAGAACTCATTGAGTTCAACATTGGCTGGTGAAAGGAAGTTCGGAGTTATATATGGCCGAGTGAGGAGTTTCTGGAAGTCTTCGAAACTAAAGGAGTCACCAGACTGGGATTGTGAAGCAGCCATTAGGAACGAAATAGAGTTTGTCGAAGTTACGTAGTAGAGAAGCAAGAAGATGAACAGTAATATTGCCAAAGAGAAGCGCTAAACAATGAGACGTGATTTAGTGGTACAATGAAATGGCGTGTATTTGGGAGTTATAAGGGTTTGCAAACGTCGCACCTTTTCAGGCTATGGAAGAAAACAATGATTGAAATTCTTGGAAATTTCGAATGTTGCTGGGAAACACAAAGTGAATATGGCAAAAATTAATAATTGATATTAATTCTGCCATATTGGAGGGTAATCGTTGACACACAAAAATTCAGCCCAAATCGAATAGCCCAAAGAATGAAGTCCAATTGGAGGATCCCCAAATCAGATAGCCCAAAGAACGGCCCAATCAGGCAATGCAAGATAAAGGCCCAAATAGAGAAGCCCATGAACGCGGTAATACCATCGTCCAAGGTTACAAGTCGCCCAAGATTTGAGCGAACGGATTGCCATGCAGTCGCCCAGAACTGTGACCCTGTTCTCGCCCAAACCTTCGAGTCACCCAGGATCTTAGCAAACATAAGATGTTATGGTTACCCAAATGTACGGTTAATGAAGCAATTATTGAGTAGCCCTATCACATTCTACGATTCAAGGAATTCAATTGAAGACGGTTGAACGACAAAAAGTAATGGCAGCAGTTAGAGAAGACAGTTCCATGACAAGTTGGCCACTATGAAGAAAGTGGGCAGTTATAGAGCGATCAAGCAGTTTTTAAGCGGTTGATCACGAAGAGATCATCCAGGGAGTATAAAAGGAAGAAAAGACATAGAGCAAAGGACCCGGAATCAAATACTCTCAAACAGAGAATATGTAACTTTCAATTTCTTAGTTTAGATTTAAACACTTCTTTTCAGTAACTCGTGTGCTTGCGCTCCTTGGAGGCATTCTGTTTTATTTTTTCAATTGTAAAGTCATCGCCAATAAAAACATTCCTTTTTGAGACTTTGTCTCAAGAGGTTTGTCCCTTACACAATCGTCTGATCCCTTTTTAATTGTTAGCGACTAACCCGCGCGAATAAGAGACTACCTCGTTGAGATCAGGGCATTTAATTTTGCCCTTGAGTTCTTGGCTAAGTTATTGTGATTCTGGTCTCTGGGATTGCATCTTCTACTTTACATGTGCAACCGACAGATGAGTTTTTACAGAAAAACAACTGTGAAGAATGGGGCTGTTGTTTTTGTAGGATATTAGTACTTGCCCTTTGCTTCAAATTTGTTGTTATTAACGCTGCCTCGCAGCTAGTGAACTCGTTGCCTGTGTATTTCTTTATTATGTGTCCTTTCTCAGAATTTTGGGCTCTTCACAATATTTATGCATTATCTTATTAATTTCATATACATTTGATTTTATTAATTTGGACTAATTAGCAGAACAGAACTGCCACATTCAGAGACAAAATGTAGACTAATTATCTGAATTAAGAAACATCCATCTAATCTAATCAAACAACCATTTCCTACACAGATTGTAGGAAGATAATATAAAGTAAATAGAAGTAAACAACCTCTTCATCTAGTCCAGTGGAAGAGTGATGAAGATTCATGGAGACATGACTGTGCGGTTGCGAATTCGACTCGACCGCCTAACTGGAGTACTGAAATCTATCTTGGGTTCTCCATATTTGCCTCCCTGCATAAGGAGGGAATTGTTTTATCAGTGAACGAATGAAGACAAAATGGAAAAGGAACAAAAACATGCCACTGAATGAGTGATTCAACATTACCTTTTCCTTTAAAATCTTCCTTTCATCAGCAAAGGTTCCATATGAAGACGATTCTAGAATTCTCCCGTGTGAATGTTTGAGAAGGAACAGACACTGGACTAGATTTTGACCCCTTGTGAGAAGCATTGCTCTCTTCAGATTCAAGCACCGGGATTTTCTTGTGGGAGCTGCAGACTCCTTTAATCACAAATTCTCCTAGCAACTCAATGGTTGGCGCATGGATGAAACAGCTGGCTTCTTGGGGTGCTTCTGCTATTGAATTAGACAAGGTTAAAGGCCTAGTAGAAGATTCAATTTCCTTTCTAATGTGCTCTTCCTCCTCATCAGAAAATCCTGAGGTTATTGTCTTCTCGATGTGCACTTTCTCCACTGCAAGACGTACTCGTGTTATTTTATCCTCTACTCTAGACTTAAGTGGCTTTACCGTAGGCTGAGAATCTTCTATAGAAGTAGTTTTACCTTTCCTTGGACGACAAAAAAAAGCTAGAGATGCCAAAATTATGGAGAATATAGAAACTCCAGCAACAACTAGGATATTAGATCCAGCTTTCTCTGTTTCATCACCGTAATCAAATTCTTTATCGACCAAGTTGACAGGCATCTCATGTGATTCTAGAAGTTCCGTATCAGGCTGATTCACCCCTTCAGTATTCAGTGGCGTCTGGTCTTCTTGGAATGAGTCGGGCTTCTTCAACTGGTCAGAACCCTTAACTTCTTTCACCAATTCATAGCTACCAGCACCATCACTTTGAGCAGTTTTTGCCTCTGCTATATACTCTACTTCACAACCTTCTATATACTCTACTTCACAACCTTCTATAACCTTGCTTTCGACAACTACTGCAGGTGACACCTCTTCAGAAAATTCACCAGTCTTAGCCACATCATTATCACAGTCATATTCAACAGACTCCGTATTACTATCCTCCATATCCGACATGTCATTTTCAACCATTTCTGCCTCACTACTCTCAATTCTTTCCACACAATCGACTTCGACCAATTCTACCTCACTATTCTTGACCTTCTCCTCATTATCGACTTCAACCAATTCTACCTCACTATTCTTGACCTTCTCCTCATTATCGACTTCAACCAATTCTACCTCACTATTCTTGACCTTCTCCTCATTATCGACTTCAACCAATTCTACCTCACTATTCTTGACCTTCTCCTCATTATCGACTTCAACCAATTCTACCTCACTATTCTTGACCTTTTCCACATTATCGACTTCAATCATTTGTACATTATAAGGCTCACCATTCTTACTCATTTCATAATCACAGGGAGATTCAACAGTCTCGCTATTCCTTTTTTCCATATCCAACTCGTCTTCTTCAACCATTTCTGCATCACCACTGTCCACAGTTTCCAAATTATCCCCTTCAGCCATTAGTATGTTATGGACCTCAAGTTCACTATCTCTCTCTTCCACTTCCAAGAAATCACCTCCATAAACTTCCATATATGCAGGTTCACATATTTGATTCTGAATCATAGTATAATCATCTTTGAAACTCAAAATGGCTTGTTGACTTGGTGATGGTGTAGAAGAGTTCGTAGAATATATATATGTCTTTGACAGAAAACATAAATAAAATGTCAGAAGAAATTTCAGTACTCCTCTCAAACTCCATCCTATTCCCTCATACTCCCCAACTTCGTCATCCTCCTCTTCCTCGTTCTCCTCCACATCATCATCATCATCGGTATTACCATCTACTTCCACTAGATTTTCTTCGTTCTCTTGAGCATGAACTAAGGAATCTTGAGCATCTGCTAAAGATTCCTCTTCCCCAGGTCCTGTACCATCTTTTCCCTCTCTGCTCTCACTTACTTTGCGGTGAAAGATCAGACGTCGTTTGTTTGGATGGTACCGCAGATACTTAGGCCTCGGGGAGAGGTAATTTGTCAAAGGGTCATAAGGCTTCAAAGATGAATCAGTAACAACACCATCATCATTTGACACACGGTCACAATTTTTAGATGGAATAAACCAAGATGGGGATAGATCATAGTGACCAATACTATTTTTCATATCCATGTCTTGAGTTTTCCAAATTTGGGTATCGGATAAGCTTGAATATTCATTCCTCTCAGCCAAAATTTTCTTTCTTGGAACCGAAACCTTCGAAGATGCCGATATAGTGGGTGACATAAAATGTTTTGCTACTGGTTTCTTAGGATAATGCAACTTGGAGATCATTTGGTCTTGACTTGTAACATTCTCATTGTTTTCTCTTGAGCCTAATCAAATATTAGATTCTTGGTTTAAAAAAAATAAAAAATTCGAAATTCTACTTAACTTACGCTACAGTAAATATTGAGATGGAGACATACCTGAAGGTGATGATTTTGGAGCCAGAGGAGATCTGGGAGTGTTTGATGATGAAAATCCTTTATCAGAACTCTCCATTTTTTTTTTTTTTTAATTCAATGCAGGTTCTTTGAACAATACAAAGGAATTCCTTTTCTCTCGGGTTTCAAATGTAGGTTTTTCTGATCTCGATTTTATTACTGGATTTCTTAATGGATTTTGGAGGGAGGAAGATTTCGTATGCAAAGCCAATGAAGGGATGATAGATGACCGTTGGCACATGTTGATTTTAAACATTTCAAATTTTGAAATCTTGTTTTTTTGACCGTTGGAGCTGTCAGTTTTGTAATGGCTTAGTCAGTGGAAGCCTTGGTCAATCATACACTTCATGCTTGATAAGAGATTAATGCCATGTTTGCTCTCTATTTTTAAAAATTCATTTTCAATTATACATTTTCTCAATAAAATAATTTTAAACGTAAATTAAGAAATTTAAATAAAAAAATATATTTTTTAAAACCCATTTTCAACCATACATTTAAAAAAAAAACAATATTGTATGTGAATTCAAAAAAATCTCTTACTTTTTAACCACACATTTTTAAAAAAAAATAAATAAAAATTGCAAAACACATTTTTCTCAAAACTTCATTAAAATGAAGCCCATCCAAGAACTTAATCACCGCCAAAGATGGATTATAATTAATTTTATTTAATATATTATTGTCTATAAGAATATTACACACGGAATAGATTTGTATTAAAATTATTTGTATCGTAGAACTTTCATAAATATGGACATATTCGTAAGATTTCAAATTGAATACCACTTTCTTCATGCGCCAAGATGGTTTAGAGCCGGGGAAGGAGGAGGTAGTTTTGATTGTGGCAATGGTTCTGTTGAAAATAGTGGTGGCTGTGGTGGTGGAATTTATGTGTTTCAACGTGCATTCCTTGTGTTTATGTGTGATACATGCGTTATTGTTATTTATAATGTCCGTACGTGATTAAATTTTACTAGGAGATTTAGTCAATAATCATTATTTATATAGGTCCAAAATATCTTAAGTTGACCCTCACTATGAATAAATAATACAAAAGAAAGCTGTCACTTTCAAGTCCTATTTTCAAACATTGCTAAACTGGATAATTAAAAAAAAATAAGTTCTCGATTAGTATTAATTACCCTAGATTATTGTGCTAATTATTGTGCTATTCTTAAATAAAGGATAGCATAGCCGCTCAGCCAATCACAATCTGAGCGGCAATGCTACATAAACAAGCTGAAAAATGAACTACATACATGTCAATATATGATTGAAGAGTTTGAAATATTTAAAAAATGAACATCCAACGACTTGCTGTCACATCAATACGTTTTTTGTTTCCTATTTTTTTAGCCTGTCTATAATCTATTTATCATTTACCATCACAATCTACATTAACAATCCCTTCATAATTTAGGTCTCGTTTGGGAATTGATTTTTTGACCGTTAGGAGAAAAGTGGGGGCTACATGTGAGAAAAGAAATCAAATTTTACGACTGAAATAGTGAAATAACGTTTAAAAAATTAATTTTTTGAGGTAAAAAATCACTCTCAAACGCTCCCTTAGAGGGTGTTCGATACCCATTTTTTTGTAAAAATGCATTTTAGAATAGTAAATTGATGGAAAATATGTGGTTGAAAAATAAAGAATTTTTTTTGATTTACGTGTAATATTATTTTAATAAAAAATGTATGATTGAAAAAAAGAAAAAGAAAAATGTATTTTCAAAAAAATGAATATCAAATGAGGCCTTATATTTTTATGTTTATCTAAATAAAAAGGTGAAATTTTAAATCCAAAAACCCACTCATGATCTCATCGACACGGACCAAAACATCCTTATAATTATGTCTTTTTACCAGGTGCAGTGTATCAAGTCAAATAGATGATGCAGCTACAAGTTTCAAGAAGATAATCATCCCCACCAAAACACATCTATCAAATCAATATCTAATCATGCTTGATTTGATGTTTAAGATCCATTTCGACCAATAAATATCTTTAAACCTTGCTATTAAAATCTTGATCCCACAAAATCACATGGATAATTTAATTATAAAAATATTTTTTAATTCATTTTTTGGCTTTAATATCGTCTAGTCTTATACACTACCAAAAGTACCGTAAACGTTTCCAATCTTGCCTTAGGCCTTGTCTAGTGCAAATTATTGGCTGAAAAGAATGAATTTTTCTATCGTTGTGAATATAATTTTTGATCGACTCTTTTTTTGGTGCGATCCGCAGTTGGACTCAACGGTAAGAAAATGACTGAAAATCCATTGAAAAATCACGGCCAAACGGGTCCTAAAAATTTTTCAAGAAAGTTACTTTAAACCAATTTTTTCTAAAATCTCTTCTAATCAAGCAAAGCGCTTTCGAAAAATTATCTAAAGATAATTAAAATCAATTTCTTAATCTCAAATAGAAACAACTTTGACTTTTAAGTTCTACCATAATGTGAAGGATTTAGGGGCTGTTTGGGCCCTATTTTTCATCCAAAAAATTGATTTTTTGATCGTTATTTTACAATTTCAACCATCATATTTGACTTCTTCTCTCACAGGTAGACTTCACTTTTCTCCTAACGTTCAAAAAATCAATTCTCAAAATTACTTCCAAACATGCTCTTAATTTGTGATGAGAAGATTTTTGAAAACAATGTGTTTATACCCTTATTTGAGCTCCATTTCAATAATATTTTTTTTTCAAACTTATTTTTAATCACGTATTCTCTTAATAAAATAATATTATATACAAGTTTAAAATTTTTTCTTACTTTTCAACCACACATTTTTAAAAAATTCACTATTCCAAAATTACTTTTTACCAAATAATAGAGCTCAAACAAGGGCTACACACCTATCATTTAAAAAAAAAATTATATTGAAACATGTTAACCTCCGAAAATGGCCAACAGGAGTCGTTAGAAGATAATGTACACGTGGATATATTTTACAGTATGTAAACTATTAATAGTATATTTGTAAAAGGAGATGAACAGTAGACAATGGAAGTATATATAGTATTCTCTTGTCTATATTTTCTAAGATCCTTTTAACTGATACAAGAATTGCTTATTTATAGTGATTAGGCCGACATGATCACTGTTAGATTGAATCCACATGGCTTGATCTGTCGACCCTTAGTGTCACATCAACTGTAATACATTAATTACATTGATAGACTTTTGACAAGAGGTCAACCACTCTACAAATTTAGGCTGACATCCTTGACACTTATTAACTGCGCAGTCTCATCAGCTCACATCAGTAGTCAACTCTGAAGACGTGCTTGTCCGACTCTCTTCTGATTTTAAAGGATTTCAGATACTCAGGGAGCTCGAAAGCATAAAGTAAACCACCTTGGAAAGAAGAATAGGGCCACTTCAGCTATTCGGCTATTCTCAGTGAAACAACCTCGACTCTCAATGTGATAGCTTCGGTTGTTGATCCTTTTTGCATACTTGTCACGTGTCCAAATATGAGGATCTTCACGTGGGTCATTTCGTATGATTATTAACAAAACATGTGAAACCTTAATTTTGAATTTTGAAATATGGCATTGGCGGCCATTGTTGCGGAATGAACACGAGAATATTCTTGTATATTAGGTTAGATAAATTCTAAGTAGACAAGAGGAAGAATTTTGTACATGGGAGTTCCCATGGTTGCAAAAGGAACAAGGATTGAAAATTGTGCTCCCCAAAATAAGTTAGCTTAGGTTATTGTGACTGAAGCCACGTGGTAGGTTCGTGTTTCACACTAGGAGAGAACTCGAGATCCCCCTCAAAACTTTTATAACATGTTTAGTAAAACACCCCCTCTCCCCAACCTACGCAAAAAAAAAAAATTTGGAAATGAAAATGAGTGAAATTGTATTTTCTTTAAAAAATGAGTGCTTGAAAAAGAAAGAAAAATTTTCGATTTACACGTAATATTATTTTATAAAAAATTGTGTGATTGAAAATAAGATAGAGAAAAATGAAATGTAATTTAATGAGTACCAAACAGGGGCTAAGAGTTCGTTTGGCAAGTTTCTTAAAATGTCAAAAGCTACTTTTGATACTAAAAAATATTTTTGAACCTATTTGAATAATTTTTTTGGAAATGTTTTATCTGATTAGAGGAGTTTTTACAGAATACTCACTTAATGTAATTATTTCAAGAAACTCTTCTACAAGAAATAAAAGTCTTGACAAACATGACCTAAATAATATTGAGCAGTGTTAGAGATAAGATTTTAATTTTTTCTTATTTAGTAGTCGACTGTACAATAACTTTATTTCCTTATTCAAGATAACTCTCTGCTATCCATGATATCAAACATATCAACATGAAAAAGTTGTATAAAGTAAAAATTAAGTGTTTGTTTGGTAGAGATTTTGTTAATTGATTTTTTAACTGTTAAAGATAAAGTGGGTTTTACATGTGAGAGAAGAGTTCAAAAATGACGGCTGAAATAGTGAAATAGCAATAAAAAAGTTTATGTTAATTTTATTAAAATCTCTACAAAACATATTCTAAACTTATTACAGTCTGCACTTAACGTGTTTCAACTATCTAAATTATTACAGCATAATTTATTATTAGTCGGGATCAGCCCAAAGACTTCTTAAAATACTTATTTTAACTATTTTGCAAGTGCTCACCCACAACAAAAATATATATGTGATCTAGTCCAAAAGAAAAGTAAAATACATCCATAACATTTCCACATTTTAATGATGACTATGAATCCTTTCAATTAGCATAATAAAATCTTTAAGAAGCTTGTTCAACTTTACTCCGTTGAGGAATTTACGACAAGCACTCCATTTTAGTCTTAGATGCTAAAGAACCATGGGACAATAAAGACATTATCCTTGATAGAAACTTCTTAAAGACGAGAGTCGAATCACATTTCCTGTTTCTATTTTCGTGCAACCAAGTCATTATATGTGCAACAATTCCGACACGGGTTCTCCATAAATTTAACTTTTTAGAAACCAAAATCTTCTTGAACTTGAGTACATGGCTGCTGCATTCGAACGCCGCTAAAACTTGTTCTTGATGCCATTACTTCATTCAATGAAAGCCTCCTTTTCAGCCCCGTGTCTGGCCTTTGTTTCGGAGCACTAAGAGACCTCAGCTTTGCTTTAAAAGATTGAGTATTTGCCATATAATTGGGACAGTTTGAGTATGGCATAAAGAAGCGATCCCCACATACACTCTTAGCCGGTGTAACCGGGGCATTGGATGGTCGAGAACTCGAGAACCGGGGAGTGCTTTGTGCAGTAGCCAACTTATAGTCCTCTCCAATGAAGAAATGGTCGAAATCTTGGGGGCGACGGCAATTGGGGATGGATAGACGAGCAGGTATTGGACATGGAATAGGAGATGAAAGTTCTTGGTAATATTGGTCGTCGCCATATTCTGATGTGCAAGAGTAGATCCTTCGAGACCTCACCTTGGGCTTGTACGTGTCTATCTCTACTATCTTTGGGCTCTCATCATATGCATTAAGTGAAGGATCATATGAAGCTGAGAGCCTCTTGCTATGAAATTCGCTTCGAGTTTCATCAAATCTTTCCTGCAAACGTATGAAGTATTAGTGAGATATGGATACTATGATTCCTCAATCGTGCCACTTGGATTTTCTGAGCCAAGTCTATTATAAGAGAGACGGGCTTGGTGAGCATTAAACGGTCCTATCCAGACACAATGTACTCCACAGAGAAAAAATATATTATAGATTTATACTTACACTCGAGTTTCTAGCTCGATTCTCTGCATGAAATCTGTAGTTTGTGTTGGTTAAACGACGAGCCCTTTGGAATTGGACAGTAGCCTGAGCTCTAACGAGAGCTTGCATACTTTGTAGAGTTGCAGCAGCACGCTTTCGTACAATGTAGCCTCTAACAAGAGCCTGTAATTTCACCAGTCCTTTTAGTGCCTTGAGAGCTTTTCGAGACTAGCAATAAACAAAAATTAGATCAACAAGAATAGCACCGCTTATAGAATCAAGTAAAACAAGAAAATACAAAAGAATTTAAGATGAATAGCTCGATTTATGCTTCTTCATAGACAATTTTAAGCCAGATTAAGAAGGAAAATTGCGATAAAATGAATATTAAATACAGGTCCTGAAGTTAGGCTTCACCAAATCTAAACTATTCAACATCAAATTCAAACTGCAAATATTCAAAATTTGAATTCGTAGCAATAAAATAGAAGAAACAACCAATGCATGAAAATAGAATAATATATTTGTACTGTTTGGTTAGAATGTTTGGACATATACTGTACTTCTGTTGAAATTTCAAGCAAACAGTGGAACATAGATTCACAATAACATTCTAGATTGAAATTCTTGCACTGAAACAAGACAATGTGCTATAATTTTTGTGCACAAATTTCAATTACCAGACAACAACAAAAAACAAATCGATCTTAAGGATGAGCTCCACTCTAATAATGAATTGCAATTTAAGACAGATTGAAAACTTAAAAGAACTCAAAAATCAAACATATATTGAAATCCCACTTACCAAATAACCTCTAAAAACAGACTGAATCTTGATGGCAGCCCATCTCTCCCTGCCACCATTGAACAATCCTCCTCTGCCTTGGCTTGTGAGTCTCACAACAGCAACAGCAGCCTGTGCGGCGGCAACAGCAGCATCTGCAGCCGCAGCTGTGGCGGCAGCCACCGCAATTGCGTGCTCGTTCTGATTCTCAGCAATGTAAGATCTCGTCCAGCCCGATTTAGTCACCGGAATGTTGGCCGGAATCTGACTCAACTCCCCTGTTTCCTTCCCTGATTTCCCAAAACTCCATCTTTTTTTATCCCTTTTTTCAGCATAATTTGCATTATTCTCCACCTTTTCCTTGTATTTCTTCATTCCCAACAGGCCTCTTAACCACCTTGTAGCTTTCCCCATTCTTTTCTCTTCAAGAAAGATAGAAACACAATGCTGTCACAGTGTAACCGACAAAGATAATGAGGGAGGATGTGTGTAAATGCTATAGAGTACAATGTGAACGACACTTCTATTCTGATATATTGGATTGGACTATACTAAATAGATTGACGAACAAGAAGAATCGTTCTATTGAGTGATGCATATAAAAAATATGAACTTAGAATCCTTACATGTTGCAAGCGAGCGATGAAAAAGCAGACACACAGCGTGGAGGAAAGATTAACAAAAGGGTACAAACCTTGAAATAATAGAGGGATAAGTAATGGGTTTTTTTCTTTTTAATTTTTGGAAAATTTTTAATCTGACACAGCCTCGTGAAGAACTGTATTACAGGACAAAAAGGTATCTCAGATTAAAAACAGAATTTAAGAAGATTAAATCGAAAAAAGATTGAAATCCCACCAACCCAAACAAACAAGAAAATACATAAAATCAATAAAAAGGTTTGAAAAAATGTGTAATAATAACCTACAGAGACATCAGATGTCTCAAAGTTTCAAACCATTGTCACCTAACCTAAAAAATTCAAAAAGGCCATTGAAACTTCCACCTTCCACCAATGAGAAACTCTGGTATTCTTACAAAAAGCATACTCATTAAACAAATAAAAATCAACAGACAAATTCAAGAAAAGTAGAAAGTAGTAATCACAGAGAGAAAAGACTCAAATTTGAAGCAAAACCCACCTTCTTAAATAAATTCAAAATAAGCACTCAAAACTCCACTTCTTCCAATCAGAAAGTCACAAAACCTATAACAATATTATACTACTATATTCCCTGCTTCTTTCTCTCTCTAACTTTCTGGAGCAACGTGTATAAGAAAATGATGAAATCCCACTAAAAGCAATCTCAGCCGCTGTCACCTTTTCAAGAAAAAGGCCGTTATAGGAAGAAAATATTAGGTGATTTCTGTTTTGAAGGAAAAATTTCAACTTTAATGGCCTTTAATAATGAACTGGAAGGAGGGTTTCTGTCTAATGATTCTATCGACTGTTACATTGTACACTTAACTCTGAACCCAACTTAAAAGCACACAACCGATAGAATTGCTTATATAAAAATTAAATCTTGTGGATTTTTTGTCCCCATATTGCTATTGACTTTGGGTTGATTTGCTCAGATATCTTTGCCGTTTTCGGTGCATAAAATCTCTTTGATAGAGAGTGGCTTCTGGTGGGTAGTAATAAAGAGTGTGGCCGTATGTTGTGAAGTTGTATGTATTGTGTAAGCAGATCTCCATTAGGTTGAATATGGAAACTCAAGGACAATGTATTTTGATTCGCTCTATTCATTGTTAAATCTACTTGAAAACAAGATTCTTAAATGTTACAAGTCACCATGAAAGTCACATGTTAATTGTATGTACAATAACATATGCAGCTGAGGCATCATAACAAATGGTGAAATTGAGAATTGTTTCTACAAGACCTAATCAATTCGATTAACCTGCCATCTATTTTAAGTTTAAAAAGATGAAAAATTATTTTTCAACTCTTTGACAATACGAGAAATCAAACCGGCAAGGTGAAAGTTTCATTTGTCAAGCTCACAAGTGACTTGATTGTAACAAAATGATATGGATGGACTGTGGGGAGTTTTTCTATATTCCTAAACGTTGAGATTTGTTCATTTAATTTCACAGCATCCTACGAGTGTAGGGGTAGATAACTGGCAATTTGATGTTGAAGATGATGTTACACTTGTTGGAATACAATGTGGTATCAATTTTTAAATTTTGAATTACTTGCTTAAATTGGATTGAAGGCTGTCAATTCACTTAATTAATAACATGAAAACAGAATGCCTATAATAAGATAAAAAATGGATTCGTAGCGAACTATTGATGAGATCGCCACTAGCAAATAAATGTGTAACATCGAACTCTTCAATGGACAAAAAATTATTTAATAGTGAAAGGTCAATCTTTGAAATTTTAATCCCTTTCAAATGGGGGCATAGAATAGATGTAGACAATTGATATCTTTCTTTTGGTGTTATTTGTCTCATTTTTTCTGAAGGAAAAATTTTCAAAGATACTAAATTCTCATTTCAGTTAACATGATCATCCACATAGCATTATTGGCACGCCCATGAGCAGACTCACTTGGGCCAAAATTAGACTATAGTCGATGCTGCAAAATATTGCGGACACAACTCATTTTAGCTAGAAAAAATGGTACGAAGCCATATGTGTGAGGGTCATTGCACTTGACTAGTTGTCACAAAGATTAGACATTAAAGGCCTAAACAATTGAGATGTGAAATATCATTTGAATGCGACTTCACTACCAAATCTAATTACATCATTTTCCATGCCTCATTTTAATTCAGTCAAATAGTACTCTTGTATAATTCGTGTCACTTTAGGATGCTCGATTGGACTCTTCATTCGATATTTTTAAGTGTTGCCAGCCAACTTAAATTCTTGTCATGCACTTTCATCACTGATATAATGGAATAACAAAAGAATAAAGCCAGTCAGCCAGAGTTAAAAACAAGGAAGAGAAGACATACTGAGATGACAGCAAATGATTAGATTTTTTTGTTCTAATTTTTCAAATTGTCCAATCGCGAGGAGACACGTGTCACCCCTATTTTTGAGCATATTTTTCACCCTGCATATATAGCACAATTGATAATATTATAAGAGATTGAAGAACAATAACAGTGTTGTTTTGTTTAGAGAATTTCGATATGTAATACTAAACGCGCTTAAATCTAGACAAATAGTTAGAGTTAATTTAGGAGCCAGAGGGACATGGATTTTTATTTTTATTTTTTTTAATACTAGATTGGTATATAGAAAAAAATATTATTATCTTAATGTCTTTTTTTTTTTTTTACTATTTTTTACCTAATAAATTTTAATTGGGCTTTGAAAAAATCATTAAGTCTCGAATGCCTGATAAGACAATGTGATGTTTAGAAATGATTGAAGTAGACCAAGAAACAAATATTGTCCATATATTCAAGTCAAATTATTTGTCAACTCTTCTATTGGGTTTGTATGGATACGAGTACAGAGATTTTAAAATATCTTAATAGATTAAACTGTTATGTTAGCTGAAATTGTGACTCGCAATTATTTATAAAATTTATTTGTCGAATTCATTGGTATAAGGAAGGGCCCTGGGCATATATTTCACGTGACGTGCCAAATTCTTTTGAATGGTACATGACAAAGTAAAATATTGTAGTTAATTAAAAAGAAAACACATTAGGTAATGAAGTTAAATTATTTTTTATACAGTGTATTCAATATTATATACCAGACATGCTATTAATGATACTCCATTACTCGCTTGACTCTTTCTTTGTTGATGATTTTGGACAATATTTTCTTTGTAGTATGCAAGTGAAAAACGGTTGTACCAATATAAAATCTAACAAAATGTTTGGTTTGGGGGAGTAAAGGTTGAAAAAATAGAAACAAAATGACAAATATTTACATTTGACTATGAAAAAATGTGTGTACATTTTTTTTTTCGAAAGTAAGTTTTGAGTTACTTTCTTGAAAGGTGAATTTTTAATATTTTAAAAAAACTATGAAAAATCGACTCATTGCTCTGTAGGCCACCCTTTCTTTAGCCATATGTAGGTGACCGGGGTTTCCAAGATGTTTAAGGCTACGGGTGCATGGGATGTGGAGAAGAATGAGCAAACATTTGTTCTTGTTGATAGTGAACAAAATCTCTCAGTTTCCTTGGATAGCGAGGGCCGGAAGGTAAATTCTGAACAAATTCGATGGCATTGTGCGAAGGATTATCCTTTGCTATACCTTTAGTTAGAGATGGAAGAATGTGATTCAATCCGGATACTTCAAAGTCTCAAATCAAATTTTATTTGAGCTTCAAATGCACCTATTTTGTGGATTTTTTTTAACGTTACATAAAATTAATAGTGATTCTTGTTACGTTATTCTGCATTAGAGGAATAGTTGTTTCCTTTGGCTCTCTAGGTTTTGATACTGGACTTTGGCATGGTTGTATGCATCTATTTGTTTCAAAAATGTTGATCATCGTGATTTAAGCCCTAAAAAAAAAAAAAGAATTGAATTTTCTTCCTGTTGGCAGCCGTCGTTTTTGACCGCCACACTCACGTGCGGGTCCCACTTGACCGAAAAGGTCGAAAAATTAGTGTAGAACTTTTTTTTTTTTTTTTTAATGAGGTTTTGAAGCAGCAGACAAGCCCTTACTTATAAAACAATCAGATATGCTCCTAAAGTGACCAAGATGATTTTCATGAGAACGAGAATATAGCTATAGAGGCTGTTTGGGAGTGATTTTGAGAATTGATTTTTTGACCGTTAGAAGAAAAGTGGGGTCCACCCATGAGAGAAGAAGTCAAATATAACGACTGTAATAATGAAATAACGGTCAAAAAATCAATTTTTTGGGTGAAAAAATAGGGCCCAAACAGGCCCATAGCACATTACCACTTTCTTGATACAAACGTTCTCTTTTGAATGCAATTTTATTTTATTTAAATTAATTTTATACTGAAGTTAATTAGATTTTTGATTTTGATGTTAGAATTAAAATTAAATCAAAGAATCGATCCGTCCTCCGTTTAAACAAGTAAAATCAATTAGATTTGGGCTAAACTGGTCGATTCTGGTTTTAATTTGATAATTTTGTTAACTTTTGCTCATCCCTACAACTTTATTCAATCATTGAACATCTCATGACCGAAAGAAATTACAAGTTTATTTTTAGGAAAAAAAGTGAAAAACAGAAAAATGCAGTTAGAGCAGAGTCAAACACAACATCGGTGGGCGAATGAACAGTAACATAAAAAATATCTCTCTCCTAATAATATTCCAATTCATTGTCCCACTGCTACTACAGTCTCAATTCTCAACTTACCATCTCTTCCTCCAAAACTTACCCCCACAAAATATCCAATTTTTTTCCTTCTACTTCTGGATTTTTGGGTCAACTCACCAATTTTAGGGATTGGCTTTCGTTAGATCTGTCAAATTAATTGCCCAATTTTTAGTTTAATCAATAAATTTAATTTCTGGGGATCCGTTGTTTTCAAATCATAGGGCCTCAAGCATTTATATTTTGATTTGGGTTTCAATTTATTGAGATTCTTGGGAAGGAAATTAATTTTTAGGCGGAAAGTTAAGTGTTTTTTTTTTATTTTTTGGCCGAAGTCAATTATGTTTTAGGGGTTGAATTGTGTACTTTTTTTTTTTTGGTTTGATTGAGAGTTTGGTTAGGGTTTTGCATGAGATTTTATATTGAGGAGAGATGGTGGGAACGGATGGTTTGAATGTTTCGCCTTCGCCTTCCCCGCCTCAGCACAAGGAAAAGCAGTCGGCGAAGCAGTGGGGGGTGACGAAACCTTTGTCGCAAGCGGGGCCATTGGAGGTGGATATTCAGAGAAGCAAGGAGTTGGAGAAGGTTCGGATTTAAAATTTTTGTTTTGAAATTGTAATTCTGGTTCTTTTGGGAGTTTGATATGTAGTGTTTGGCGGATTTTTAGTTTTTGGTGGATGCGGGATTATATGAGAGTGCAGAAGAAGCTGCTAAGAGAGAAGAGGTTCTGGGTCGACTAAAACAGGTATATCAATTCATGAAACTGCTATCCATTCCCTTTGAGTTATAACTTACATTGTTAAAATCAGGGACTAAAATATTGAGGCAGTTTGCAATTGTAATTTGTCATTATTTGATTCAAAATAATTGGAACAAAGAAGATTTTATTTATAAGAAGGGCGGAAAAGAATTCCACTTAAAAAAGGGTGGTGCGTGTGTCTGAATAACTAGTTAGCTGAATGGTTGGCAATTGGGTAGTGTAGATGAAAATGGGTTATGGACGACCCAGATTTATCCATTCATTCATAAATGGTTTGGATCAATCCATGCTCCAAGCAGACAAATCACATGATTCACATCCAACTCAGATTGTTTACTTATTAAACTGGATTCTTGAATCTATGTAAATCTCAATGCATAAGATTGTTTTAGCTGAAAAAGAAATTTGACCATAAATGCACTTCCTTCGTTGCCGTCCCCATTGCTGTGCCATGCCACTATTGTTCGTAAGTTACTTCTATGCCTTTAGAATACCTAGAGGTTGGGATACTGTCGATTATTTTAAAGAGCTTATCATCTTTTCATGTTTGGCCAAGTGAGAAAACCATATTGCCTGATTTGCCTCCCTTTTATTTTCATTAAGACATTGCCCCTGTTTCCTCTTGGCTAGAATTGTTACTTATCTTTACCATCTGACATTGCTCAAATGCTTGCCTCCCTCTCCATTGCCACTGCATTTCCAGGACTTGCTTTACACATGCTGCACTGCTTCTGCCTTGCCCCAATTACAACCCATGCATCCTATAATTATCACTTCTTGGCAGCCTCTTGCCAACCATTTTCCCTTTTTCCATCCACACCATAATCACGGCTGGTTGCAACCCTTTGACATCCAAACCCAATTTCCTCACAAAATCCACTTAAATTATTTTATTTTAAAAATTCGGTTTTCTTTAAGTAAACTGTCAATAGTCAAAGACAATAAAAATCACTTTTATACCTTTTTTTTGGTCATTATTATCAATCTAAATGCTGGGCTAATGTGTGAAAAGTTAAGATCAAAAAGTAAAGCAGAGGGAAAAGAAATGTGGGATGAAGATTGTCGATGCTTACATGCCAAGAGAAAGAAAAAGGAGTACAAGAAAGGGAATGCAAGGGGGTGGTGATAATAGGAAAAATATAAGAAAATTGAAAAAATGAGTGAAAGAGGTGCTAATAGTTTCGCTGCCTTAGGAAAAAAGGCTTAAGGAGGTAAAAAAGGAGGTTGTGTGGTGAAAGGTGAAGGCTGTGCTTTTGGGATATAAGGACTGCAAGATGTATTATTTTTTCCTTGTTTAAGATTTGAAGTGGAGTTTCCTTGGAAGGTTTAAAAGGTTGGTTTTATGGAACTTAACTAAGCTTCTTTTGGGTTTTCTTTATTTTGTAAAAACTTTTTCTAATCTCTTATGAACTTGTGTTGTGAAGTTTTAGAAATACTTTTGCTAATTAAGCTAAATTTACAGGTGATTCAAGTGGTATGAAAGTACACTGTAAACATAAAATTTCATGTGTCACTTTGATAGAAACTCAAATATTTAAGTTCATAATTTTAATTTTTCTAATTCATAAATGCCTGAGACCATATTTATTAATGATCTAAATGTAAAAGGTTGATTCTAAAGAACTTTTCAGGGTAATAGGTTTGTGTTCTTTTTGTTATGTTGACAGTGTAAAGAGGTTATCATCACTGGATATTGCACATTTGTGTTGTTTATCAATTAGTTTTTTATGGTCTTGGTTAAGCTTAGTGAGCTCAAACCTTTTGAGATAATAGTTAATTTCTAGCACTTAGAGACTATCTATTTAGCATGATTAACTGGTCTGCAAATAAACCAAAAGTCTTCTAGTTGAGTGTGTGTCATTCAAAGAAAGGCGAAACTTCTATTGAACTAATCAAGGTCTTTTACATCAAACTGTTGTCGCCGATGGAAATTGCACGTGATGCCAAGCATGAGTTGGAATTCAGTTATCACCGATTCATTTGTGATTTGGCACAGATTCTGAAACTTGAACTCAACATTTTCTTTCCACGTAGCAATAGTTTATATGTAATTGTCTCTTGCTTCATATTGAAATGCATGTAGTCTGCATGGAAAATACATATCAATGAGCTAAATATTTTCTTTTCATATAGCAATAGTATGTATGCAACTGTCTCTCACTTCATAATGAAATATATGTAGTCTGCATGAAAAATATATTTCAATGTTTTATGTTTTGTCGTTTAACTTAGTATTAAATTACATTCTTGGATCTAGATGATATTGATACTGGATTTGCATTTGCTTTTAGGTTGTAAAAAACTGGGTGAAAGAACTTACGCGAGTGAGGGGGTACAGTGATCAAATGGTTGAAGATGCTAATGCTGTTATCTTTACTTTTGGTTCTTACCGACTAGGGGTAAGGAACTCCTAAAGTTACATTAAAGTTACAATCTTTTTGTTGTATTATTATGCTAGTATCTTGTTTGGTTTTTAAGTTCAAATTCGAGGTAGTTGCTATATCTGGGGAGAGAATGTCACGAGTTCTAACACACAATGTTTATGTGTTCATATACTCAATTAAAAGAAAGGAGTTATTTTTTATTTTTTTATTTTTTTTTTTTCCTTCCTGTATTATTTTGGAAAAAGATTAGAATAAATACTGCTCTTGTTGTGCATAATGTCTATGCTTATTGCATAGGTGGTTATGGATCATAGACCTTGAAAAATTTCTGAGGCTACTCTGAAAGTATAGACTTGCTGGGTTGTGTATCGAGATTAAATGAAGCATTTTGATGTTTATTTGAATTTGTTTATTTCAATTAATGAATTGCAGATTGTGCTTTCCTAGAAGTAGGATCTTCTTGTGAAGTGTTCCAATTAAGTCTTATGTTCCCATCTTATCTACACACGTTTTCTTGTTCTTATTGAGTGGTCCAATTGTATGTGCTCTATTTGTTTTCTCAGAATATAGAAATGAACATGTGTAATCTTGAGTTCACCAGTCTGTTCTCATCTCTGTCACTGTGTGCATGTCTGTATTTGTGGTTCTGAATTGCGATTCCTTGCATAACATCATTTATCTTATTAGAAATATCTTGTATATTACATTTGTTTATTTTGAAGGTACACGGCCCTGAAGCTGACATAGATACGTTGTGTGTTGGGCCATCCTATGTGAATCGGGAGGTAATTTGTATTGTCATTGTTCCATTTTGGAACCAGTTTGCGTAGTTTAAATATGTACTGATGTGGACCTTTCTTTTGCCAGGAAGATTTCTTCTATGTACTACACAGTATTTTATCTGAGATGGAAGAGGTTACAGAACTCCAGCCAGTACCTGATGCTCACGTGCCTGTTATGAGATTTAAATTTGATGGAATATCAATAGATCTTCTTTATGCTAGCATTTCTCTTTTGGTGGTTCCTGATGTAAGTTTGCCTTCAAACTCTAGGGTTAGATTTGCAGTTTGCAATTCTTTTGGCCTCATAATGTAGTTTAGTTCAGTTTTTTGCTAACAACTTGAATTTCATCAATAATGGATGCATTTATCGTGAAACATCATTTTTCTTTTTTCCTTGTCTTCTTGTAAAATGAAGCAAAACCATTCTTTCTTTCTTCATCCCTTTCCTGTTCACCCTGTTTTCTTTACTTTCTTTCTTTATCTATGCATTGTGATCATCTTCTCCTATATATCAAGTTTAATGTATGCTTTGTGGAGACTGGATTTTTAACGAGTTACACTTTGATGAAGCATTCATGCTCCTTCCAATAACGTGTGACCTTGAGTATGTCTGTGTGTTCATCTATGACAATGTTGGGTGCATTGTCACTCTTTATCTTTTGTGCATCTGTCTGCAGAATTCTGAATCACCCCTTTACATGTCTTGCATGCGCTCAAAAACACATGCATGCAGGAAGATATTATAAATCATGAAGCTTCGTATCTTTCTGTGTGTTATAGCTGGTGAGGTTACATAGATATGACCTGAAACTTGCTTGTGTGTTTAGAAACTGTATTCTTTGACTCTCGCAACATTTTATTAAATTTTAACATTGTTTAACCCTAACGTAAAGGTCAAGTATGCTGTCATATTATGATACTGCTGTTTGATTTGGGAGAAGAATCTAGATAGATAGGCTATTTTATTTTCTTTTCAAAATTACTCTTTTGCCATATGATGAATTTACAAGGGATCAAGCATCCACCTTGTTTTGTTTATATATCAAGCTTGACGATCTTTATCATCCTTACACTATTTTCTTATAGCTGATGAAATGTAAAGTTTTTACTTTAGCTTTTACTGCATCGTTACTAAGTTTCGTATTTTTAACCTCTTTATAATCTAGTGAAGATGGATAGTTCACCGTATTTAGTTGTCAGCTTTGGCAGCACTGTTTTATTTCTGACTATTCATTGCTGTGCAATTTAACATGATTGCATGTAGTGATTTTTAAACGTAGCTGTACTTGATCAAAAATTTATGGGCAGGATTTGGATATCTCCAATATGTCTGTATTATATGACATTGATGAGCCAACTGCACGTAGTCTTAATGGCTGTCGGGTTGCAGACCAAATTCTCAAGCTAGTTCCAAATATTGAGGTGAACATATGCTTACAAGCTCGACAATAGCTCACTTTTGCTTGTACTTATACATGTTGATTTGCTATTTTAATGCCTAATTATCTTAAATTTTTTTTTTAGCATTTCCGTACAACTCTGCGGTGCCTAAAGTTTTGGGCTAAGAGGCGTGGTGTTTATTCAAATGTAAGTTCGCTTGTGTTTTAGCTCGTCTCTTTTTAGTCCATTTGCTCTTTTTGTTGTCCATAATTTTGTTTTGTTCCCTAGGTGACCGGGTTTCTTGGTGGTGTCAATTGGGCTCTTCTTGTTGCTCGGGTTTGCCAATTTTATCCCAATGCAAATCCCAGTATGCTAGTGTCTCGCTTTTTCAGAGTTTATACGCTATGGCGTTGGCCAAATCCCGTGATGCTTTGTGAAATTGAAGATGATGAACTTGGATTTTCTGTTTGGGATCCACGTAAAAACCCTTGGGACCGCTGTCACCATATGCCAATTATAACACCTGCATATCCATGCATGAATTCTAGCTATAATGTTTCCATAAGTACTCTCCGGGTTATGATGGAGCAGTTCCAGTTTGGTAATAAGATTTGCGAGGTAGCTAAACAAAGTCTAAAGCTGTTTGGTTGTGCAGTATCATACAAGTATAGCTGGCTATAATTATTTCTTCTTGTCCATATGCAGGATATTGAGCTGAACAAAGCCGAATGGAAAGCCTTGTTTGAGCCTTATTTGTTTTTTGAAAGCTACAAGAACTATCTGCAAGTTGATATCATTGCTGCTGATTCTGATGACCTGCGTGCTTGGAAAGGCTGGGTTGAATCTCGTTTGAGGCAGCTGACTCTTATGGTAATATCTATTGTTCTGAAATATCCCTTGTGATGGAGGTTTTGGTGATGTTTGCACTGAAATTGGTCTAAAAGATAAAGATGAAGCAGATTTTCTTTTGCATTCATGCTTTTTATCCAATAATTGCAGATAGAGCGGGATACTTCTGGGAAATTACAGTGCCACCCTTATCCTCATGATTATATAGATAACTCAAAGCAGTGTGCTCATTGTGCCTTTTTCATGGGTTTGCAACGGAAACAAGGAGAAGTAATTCAGGAAGGTCAACAATTTGATATCCGTCAGACTGTTGATGAATTCAGGCATCAAATAAATTTGTATATGTACTGGAAGCCTGGAATGGAAATATACGTTTCTCATGTGCGTAGAAAACAGATCCCTGCTTATGTGTTTCCTGAGGGTTATAAACGCAGCCGACATCCTAGGCCGATGGGCCAACAGCAGCTTGACAGGGCTTCTAGCGAGGATGCTGAGGCTTGCAGGACTGGATCTGCCGAGAGATGCTTTAAANCGATGGGCCAACAGCAGCTTGACAGGGCTTCTAGCGAGGATGCTGAGGCTTGCAGGACTGGATCTGCCGAGAGATGCTTTAAAAGGAAAAAGGAGCTTGAAGAGATGGAGTTGAAGCAAGGGAGTCTGGAAAAAAGGCAATCTATTAGCCCCCAGAGGAGAGATTCAGTTTCCCCTGACCTTTTTTCAAGAAGTACCAATACATTGAAAGGGTGTTCCTCGATCGAGTCTGAGATGATCAAAGAAAGGGCTGAATCATGCCAGCCTATTGATGGATTCATTCCACAAGCAATCCCATGCTCTGGATCTAGTGGGGGCAAGATGGAACATCATGATCGGGATAATGAAATCAATGCAAATATGACTACATCAAACCAAGGAATAGGTGCACAAACTTCCGATGCTGGGTGCATTTCTTATGCGAACAATGATGGTAGCCCTGAAGGGTTCTCGCAGGGTGATATATGTGAGGTTAATTCAAAGCTTTGTTTTGATAGTGGATGCAAAAATGTTGCTGGTGTTTTTGAAGGCGGACTAAGAGGTTTTGGATTTAAGTTGTCTTTGCCCCTTACCTTTTTCAAATATCTTCCTTTTAACTCTCTTGAATTATTTAGTTTTGACAGATTTTTTCAACATTTTTTCTGATCTACAATCCTTGAGCACGGTCATATTAGCTTAGGATTAGGATTTATATTTGCATCACATTGATTTAATTATTTGCACTGCTTTTGTTTCTCTGAAGGCTAATGGGCAGCATGGGATGGTGCTGAACTCTGGAGATGGAGTCAGCTCAGAACCTGTTCAGGAGACGGTGATGAGGCATGTCGATAGAAACTCAGAACTTGCATATATTTATTTAATGTTGTCATACCATTGTTGTCTTTATGCTGCTTTGTCTTGTTCTTTTGGCTTTTTCTATAGCAGGTTGAGTCTTACATCGAGCGCCTGAGATTACAAGGTCAATCCATGGAACTGTGAAATAAAATGCTGAGTTAAATGAGACAGAAAGCCAGCAACTCGGGTAAGTAACATTTGCAAAGCTGGCTTTCATTTGTTTCTGATTTTTCCTGGCAAGGTAAGATTTTCAATCTCGGAGGAAAGGAGATTAAAGAGCAGTAATCTGAAGAGCACCCATGGTTTGCTTAAATGCTTTGTATATAGTTTAAGCATGCTGGTGCTAAAGTTG